CGAGCGGGCGAGCCCGATGCGTGGGTGCCGTGCTGGCTGTAAGGATCCGGGCCACGGGTCCAGGGCGAGCGTGGACCGTAGTCTGCGGCGGAGGAGAAGGAGTGGGAGTGGGTGAGGCGGGGGTCTGAGCGTTGTGGCTCTTTGGGAGCGCGTTCGGGCTCGCGCGGGAAGGTGGGGGAGGGCGAGCGGGTGACCATGCCGCCGTGCTGTGCGGCGAGGCCTGGGTCGCGGATGCTGCGGAGGACGGTGGCGAGGGTCTGCTCCATCTTGCGCAGGCTCTGCTGCATGGCCTCTGCCTTTTGATTTTTGCCGCCCTTTTTGCCGCGATTGCTTTCCTCGAAGATGCATTCGTGGTTGCCGTTGCGGCATCGGTTGCAGGGAGGGCCCTTTTCGGCGCCTACGCAGCGCATCTTGAGGCGACGGCAGTTTGTGCAGGCGCGGGCGCCTCGGGTGGGTTTCTGCTTCTTTTGGCCGGTGGCGCCGTCCTTTGTGCCGTTGGCGCCGCCGGACTTGTCGCCCTGCTTGTCCTTGGCGGTGGCCTTCTTCTTTGCACTTGCGTTCTTGGGGGATGCGTCGCGTTTGCGCTTGTTGTTTGCGCCTTTTGGCTTGCCGTCGTTGGTCTGATCGCCGTCATCGTCGTCTTCGTCATCGTCGTCCGAGTCGTCGGAATCGTCGCTGTCACCATCGTCATCGTCGTCATCATCCTCGTCGTCGTCTTCTTCGTCGTCTTCATCTGCATCGCGGCTCTGGCTGCGTTTGGAGGAGGAAGGAGGAGCGCTGCTGTGGAGTGCGGATGGATTGTTGGCAGCCCACGATCCGACAGGCAGATTTTGAGCCGAGCGGTAAGGCGAATGCGAATAGGACGAAGCGGGGTAGGCGAGGGATGCGAGCGCGTGACCGTAGGTTGTCAGAGGAGAGTGGTGGCCAGGGGTGTGGGAGCCGCTGGGGGCGTGTCCGGACAAGGAGGGATGGTGGAGATGGGCGGCGGAGGAGGAGGAAGGGAGGTCGACGGAGCCCTGCCGGGAGTGGGAGAACTTGGGCGGAGTGTTCATGGCGGCTGCTGGGTTGGAGGGGGTGGTGGTTGCAGGGAGGAGAGAGGAGGGCGAGGGAGTAGCTGGTGCCAGACGATGCCGAGGAGGCGTGAAGCAAGGTCACGACGTCGAGCGTGAAGCGGATGCAAAGCCGGATACCGGGAACGATGTTGGCCGAAGTCAAAGCGAGAGGAAGGAACGAGGAAGTTTTGAGGGCCAGAGGCTGCTGGTAGGCGGTGGGCGATGTTATGCAGCGAATGACCGACTGTTGCTTGACGAGCGCTGTGAGCGGAAGCGGATGCAAATGAAGCAAGGCTTCGAGCGAGTGAATGCTGACGAAAGGAGGAGCACGTGTGAGGTGATCGGGCGGTAAGCAACGGATGGATGTGCGGAAGTGATGTGGGTCCGGCAAGCGGTTGGGAGTGCTGGCTGGTGAGAATGAAGAGGGTTGGTGGGTGATGAAGATGCGTGCGAATGAAGCCGGATCGATTGATGGAGCTCGGTAGTCGCGACACGGGAGTCGGAGTGTTGGATGATTGAGATGATTGAGATGGTTGAGATGCTTGAAGCAAGCGTGCTAGCTATCCCTTTTCGAGAGGGAGTGGCTGCGGATGGCCGGATGGACGACGGATGGACGATGGAGAAGGAGAGGAGGAGGGGGCAACGGCGGTGCGGCACGGGAACCGGCTGAACTGGAGAGCGGTGGGTGCGGAGAGAGCGGAGGAATCGGGTGCGAAGAAAGCCAAACGCGCTGCTGAGCCGGATCGCGTTGACAGAGAGTGAGGCTCAGCACACGCCGAGAGCCGGAGCAGCAGCAGCGCAGACAAATCGCGGTGGGGGGAAAAGGGCCCAAAGGGAGGCGGCGTGTGTGTCACTGTTGCCTTTTCTCTGACCAACGCCGGTCAAACCCAGTCAGACAGCTCGCCAGCCAGCCAACCCGTGTGTTGGCCAATTTCCCAACGAAAAAGCCAAAAGCCAAAAAGAGAGCCAAAATTCAGCTCCAGCTCGACTCTCTGCTGCTGCTGGCTCGGCATGTCTCAACGCACACAAGCTCAAGCTTGCTGCCGACGCAAACCGCTTCATCTCACACATCTGCGCACAATGCTGAGCTTGCTGAGCTTGTCGAGTTGAATCGAATCATGCGTCCGTTGGAGCGACGAGGGCCAAAGCCTACGCGTTGGGTCCTGCGGCTCGGCCTGCCAGTGCCGATGGACCGGCCGGCCGAATTTTCGTGGCGCACCGCCGCCGTGCAGCTGGGGACCTTGGCTGGTCGTCGGATTCGCTCGGAAGCCTCTAGCCGAAGTTCTGACACTGATTGCTCCCCGATGAGAGAGATTCGATCGGGCCGGCGCTGTCATCTGTCCGTCTTTCAGGGTCCAGCCCCGGCTTTCCTGCATGCCCATCTCCAGCATCGTAGCCAGCATCGAATTGTAGCATGGCGGTGGTGCCAGACCCGCCGAGGGTGGCCTACGTCGTCTCGGGCGATCTTGTGCACTACGCAGACCTGCTGCCTTCCAACAAGGGCCGCTCGTCGCACGTTCACTCGCTTGTCCACCACCTCGACCTGCTCGACCTTTCTACGCTGGATGATGGCAGCGACGATGCTGACGACGACAACCTCAAGCGCGGGAAACCGGCCGGCTCATCGGAGCGCGAACGCTTCCTCGCGGCCATAAGCGCCGATGAGAGCGCGGCGTCTCCGCCAAAGTCGGATCGCAGAAGGGCGGCGGTCTACCTTCCGCTCCCCGCCACACGTCAGCAGCTCACCACCTTTCACGGTGAGCCGTTCGTCGACCACCTCACTCGAGGCAAGTCTGCTCAAGCACAAGACTCGAAGCCGCCCCGGAAGCGTCAAAGAACAGCCAACGATGCCGGAACCTCCGAATCGGACCCAAACTCGGACTCGGATTCGGACGTGTCCCGAACCAGCCACGGCAAGCGCACTGCGTCGGTCAAGAACCAGTTTGGGCTTCAAGACGACTGCCCAACCTTTGACGGCCTGGAGAAACACGTCTCGCTCATTGCAGGTGCCTCGATCACTGCAGCGGAGCTGCTTGCCACGGGTCAAGCCGACATCGCCATCGCCTGGGACGGCGGCCGGCACCACGCCAAGAAACACGCCGCCTCGGGGTTCTGCTACATCAACGACGCCGTGCTCGCCATCCTTGCGCTGCGCAAGCCGCGCAAAGTGACCGTCACCACCACCGTCCCGCGCGAAGCGGGCGATGAGGCCACGGTGCGCAAGACGACGATCAAGCGCGTGCAGCGCGTGCTCTACCTCGACCTCGACCTGCACTGGGGCGATGGCGTGGAGGAAGCGTTCCACACGAGCGCCAGCGTGCTTACGCTCAGCATCCACCACTATGCACCAGGCTTCTTTCCGTGCTACACCGCATCGTCGGATTCTCGCTACGGTGCACCAGGTTCGCTCGGTGCAGACCCGGGTGCAGCGGATACCACGATCAACATCCCGCTGGCCATGGGCACGTCGGATGCAAGTCTGGAGCGCGTCATGGAAGCGACTGTTCAGCCGGTGGTTGAGGCATGGCAGCCCGAAATGGTGGTCGTGCAGTGTGGCGTCGACGGACTAGCGGCTGATCCAATGGCAGTGTGGAATCTCTCCGCCGCTGCATATGTAGCTGCGATCCAAAGGGTGCTGGGGTGGAAAAGACCCACGCTGCTGCTGGGTGGGGGTGGATATGATACGGCCAATGCTGCACGATGCTGGAGTTTGATCACCGCTGCAGCATTGGGAAGGTACGAGGATACAACCAAGCGACGTGCTGCAGCGCCCAGCTTTGAACCGCACACACTCGTAGACAGAGAGAGCGTAGAAGCAAAGCCGGAGGACAATGTGCAAACGCAGAGTATCTCGCTCGAAACGGGTGTGCCCGACCACGCTTTTTGGCCAGCCTACGCCCCACATTATACACTCAATGTCCCAGCGGGCGAGATGATCGACCACAACCCACCAGCGTACTTTGACGAGATTCACGTATCCCTCGCCGCGCGGATCGAGTCGTTCACCAAATCATCCTGACCTTCAACCGAGTAAAATAATGGCTTACCAAGGACAGACTAGAGTACATGCGATTGGGGGACTACGAGAAAGAAAGGTTAGCGCGACCACTGCTTTGAGCCTGACGATCGAGTGGCATTGGCGCCCGACTTGCGGAAATGCTCTTTGCTCCCACTGCCGTTCTGGTGGTTGCGTCGGTAGTAGGCTCTCCTATCCGACTGCTGACGCTTGGGATTGACGTCGTCGTCGCCTTCAGCACCTTCGGCATCCACTTCCTTGCGCTTGCTACCGCCGTCTTTAGCTTTGAGGCTCGTGCCAATGGTGATGTTGACCTTGGGTGGCACCGAGAAGCCGTACGCCTTGGCCACCTTGGCGAGGTCGAGCTTGTGGATGTCAAAGATGCGCTTGAGCGAGTACGAGCCGTAGGCCTGGAGGTAGGAGCGGTAGCCATCGCGTGCCGACTGGTGCAGATAGTAGTTCTTGGCAATCAGCTTCTCCAGCTGCCCCTGCACGTTGGCCACCTTATCCGACGGGAACGTGTACTCGTTCAGCGGCACCTTGGCCACCTTGAGGAAGCGCAGGAATCCCAGCTCCGAAGGCAGGAGGAAGAGAAGCGACTTGCCCGCATTGCCCGCACGCGCCGTTCGACCCACACGGTGGATGTAGTCGCGCGGATCATCGGGTGGGTCAAACTGGATGATCCAGTCGACGCTCGGAATGTCGAGCCCACGTGCGGCAACGTCGGTACACAGCAGCGTTCCCGACGGCGCGTTGCAGTACTCGAAAAACGTGTTGGTGCGCTTCTGCTGCTTCTGCTTGCCGTGCAGATCCAGCACGGGCACGTCGATAAAGTTGAGCAGATCCGAGTGGTACTTGACCGAATTGCACGAGCTCATAAACACGATGATCTTCTTGCCCGCGTTCTTCTTGAGGAACGTGAAGAGCAGCAGGAATCGTCGGTCCGACTCGCACACCACATACCCCTGCTCCAGGCGCGACACGGTGCTCGCAGCCAGGTCGGCGTGCACGTTGATGTACAGCGGTCCGGGGCGCAGCGAGATGCGTGCGAGGTCCTGCACCTTGGTGGTCTGCGTTGCCGAGAAGAGCATGCTCTGGCGATTGTCGTTGGGGAGGATGTTGACGATCTGGCGCATCTCGTCCTCGAAGCCGATCTCGAGGATGCGGTCGGCCTCGTCGATGCACAGCGCCTTGAGGTTGGAGAAGACGAAGCCCTTGGTGTTCTGCAGGTGGTCGAGCAGACGGCCGGGCGTGGCGACGATGAGGTTGACGCCCTTCTGCAGCTTGTCCGCCTCCGCACGTCGGTTGGCGCCGCCCATGATGATGCCGAACGTCTGGTGGTGATGCGCCATGAGCTCCTTGGCGACGCCAAAGATCTGGAGCGCAAGCTCGCGCGTCGGCGAGATGATGATGGCGCCCGTGCCGTTTCTTGGCTTGAACTTGAGCCTGTGCAGCATCTCGATCGCAGGTATGAGGAACGAGAGCGTCTTGCCCGAGCCGGTCTGCGCCGCACCCAGCACGTCCTTGCCCGCCATGAGCGGAGGGATGCAGCGCGCCTGCACCTCGGTCATCGTCTTGAAGCCCATGGCGTCGATGGCCTTGCGAGTTGGCTCGGACAGATCGAGCGTGGAGAAAGGCTGGCGCTCGGCAGCCGGTGTGCTAGACGACGACGAGGAGGAGGCGGCCTTGGCCTTGGTGGAGGACTCGGCGGCGGCGACATCGGCAGCGAGCTGGGAGGCGAGCTCGGCCTCGGCATCGATCTCTGGATCCTTTGGTGGTGCCATGGTTGCTTGTTCCTTCTCTCGGATGATGGACGAGCGATGACCAGATTGGGTATGATGGTGAGAGCACAGGAGGGCGTTGCTGTCGCACTTGAGAGCCTCGACCTTGGGGCGAGTGGCCACTCTCTCCCTGCCTCCGCTGCCCGCTTGAAATTTTCCAAATTTTCTACATCCACTCCACGCCCGCCACGAAAAAAATCGCGAGCTTCAACAAAGAAACAGGCACCTCAGCAGAGAAGCGCAGAACTCGACCCTGGCCTCTGGCTCTGTCTTCCGAGTTCCGTGCGGCTCAACTTTTACCTTTTCTTTTTTTTTTCCATCCCCAACAGCGGCTTCTTTTTTTCTGCCTTTTTTTCTGGCCCTGCTCCGACACCCTGAGAAGCTCGACTGCCGGTTCGGTGTGGAGAAATTTTGTGTGAGAGGTGGTTGGAAGAGCAGCTGCTGCTCGTGCTCCTTTCTGTCCTGAGCAAAGCCTGCGATCGAGCTGCACAGAAACGGACCCTTCTCTTCACCAACATCGCATCGCATCTGCCACCTCGTTCGAGAGCGCTCTGTGCTGCGCCCTACCTTGCCTAGCGCCTCTCGGTCCCATCATGCCTTCCAAGGTGGCCAGGTCAAACGCCACGCCGGCCAAGGCCAAGGCAAGTGCCAAGCCGGCTGTTGCGACACCTTCGAAGCATGCTGTCGACACCGAGCCTAACTCGAAACGACGCCGCCAACGTGCCACCAGCGATGTCGATGTCGTCGCACCCACCTCGTCGTCTTCCGCCCCTGCAGCTCCACAAAAGATCGTCTCTCGCAACCGTCTCTTTGCGCCCTTCCGTGCACTCGGTCTCATCAGCAACGACGTCCCTTTTGCTCTTCAGACCAGATTCGGAGGCAAGGACGCCACCACGCCCGACGTCAATGTCATCACCTGTTTGGGCGACAGCTGGGCCATGTGGGACGCAGAGAGGATGACGCTCCTCTTTGTCTCCACCTCGCTCCCCGCACCCATCTCCTCGCTCGTCATCTCGCTCAGCCCGGACGCCGTCCTCGCTGCGGCAGGCACCAAGGTCTACCGCTTCCGACGAGGCAAGGTCGATGCCGTCTACGACACCGTCGATCACATCATGGCCGCCTTCGACAAGCCCAACGGGCACATGGAGGAGGAGGAGGACGACGACGACGACAGCAGCAACTCCGATTCCTCCTCCGAGGCGGACTCAACCGGACAACAGGGAACACAGCTCTCGTCGCTGCTCGTCTTTGGTGACACTATCGTGGCTCTTTCCTCCGACGGTCGTCACGTCTTTGTCTGGTCGGTCGGCACTGCCGAGCTCATCAGGCGCATCGACCTGCCCGACACGTTTGTCGCCAGCTCCATCCTTCATCCCGCCACATACCTCAACAAGATCCTCATTGGCTCCGTCGACGGCCAGCTCGCACTTTGGAACATCCGCACCGGCTCTCTCGTCCATGCATACGACGCCGAGCAGCTTCGCCTCGCTGCCGCTGGTCCCAACCCTTCCACGCCTTCGGCGGCCATCGTCAACCTCACACAGTCTCCCGCCGTCGACGTCATCGCCGTCGGCTTTGCGGACGGACACGTGCTTCTCCACGACATTCGCCTCGACGAGAGCCTGTTTGCCGTCCACGCCGCCGGAGGTCTTTCGTCTGGCTCCGTCTCCTTCCGCTCCGATGGCAAGCAGCACTCGGTCGCCATCGCCACCAACACCGGCAACATTAGCATCTTTGACCTCGAGCCGTCCACCGCCTCCGGCCCCAGCTCGGCGCAGAATGGCCCGCGCCTCACCTACTCGATCCAGGAAGCGCACGACGGCGCCGTCGGCAGCATCGAGTTCGTGCCAGGCCAGCCGCTTCTCATCTCGTCCGGCGGCGACAACAGCTGCAAGCAGTGGTTCTTTGAGTCGGCCTCGATGCCGCCGCGTCTGCTCAAGGGTCGTTCGGGCCACCACCAGCCGCCTCATCTCATCCGCTACTACGGCGACGAGGGCAAGGAGATCCTCTCGGCCGGTCGCGACCGCTCGATCCGCAGCATCTCGGTGGTGCGCGACTCGCGCTCGCACGAGCTCAGCCAGGGCGAGCTGCAGAAGAAGAGCAACCAGCTCTCGGTCTCGGTTTCGTCGCTCAAGCTTCCCACCGCCAGCTCGCTTTCGTTCAGCTTGACGCGCAGCCGCGATTGGGACGATGTGCTCACCACGCACACGGGGCGCCAGTTTGCCAACACCTGGACGGTGCGCGATAAGCGCATGGGGAAAAAGCCGCTGCCGGCGTCGGCGGACCGCAAGATCATTGCCGAGGCGAGGACGAGCTGCGTGAGTGCGTGTGGCAACTTTGGCCTCGTGGGCAATTCCGAGGGGCTGGTGGAGATGTACAACATGCAGTCGTATGCGCATCGCCGCACGTTTGACACGCGTCCGCTCGATCCCATGGGCGCTGCCAAGGCCAAGGAATTCGCGGTGGGATCCAAGAAGGCGCAGGCTGCGCTCAATGCGCGCGTCAAGGGCCCGGCGGTAACGGGGGTGGTGACGGATGCGCTCAACCGCGTGGCGGTGATCAGCACCATGGACGGCCAGCTGTCGTGGTTCGACTTTTCGTCCGCGGCGCTCTTGCATCGCATCCCCGTCTCGGCATCGGGCATCTCGTCGATCCAGCTGCACCGCGACTCGAATCTGCTGCTCGTCATCTCGGACGACCTCGTGCTGCGGCTGATCGACATCGAGACGCGCCGCGTGGTGCGAGAGTTTGTCGGATTCCGCGGGCGCATTCTCGATGCGTGTTTCAGCAATGATGCGCGCTGGGTGGTGGCGACGTCGATGGATGCTGTCATCCGCACGTTCGACATCCCCTCGTCGCGACTCGTGGATGCATTCAAGGTGGCGAGCATCGCCACGTCGGTGGCGTTCAGTCCCACGGGCGACTTCCTCGCCACCGCGCACGTCGACAGCGTCGGCATCTACCTGTGGGCCAACAAGACGCAGTTCTCCTCGGTGGCGCTGCAGGGTCTGGACGAGCTTGCCGAAGTGGTGGATGAGGACGAGGCGGTGGTGGCGCTGCCGACGGTGCAGGGCGATGTGGAGGATGCGGCGCTGGCCGAGTATTCCGAGGCCATGATGCAGGTGGGTGAGCCCGAGCTGCAGCGTGTCTACACGTCGCCGGTGCAGATCGACGACGCCTCGAACGACGGTGGCTTGGTGACGCTTTCCACCATGCCACGCGCGCGCTGGATGACACTCATCAACCTCGACACGATCAAGCTGCGCAACAAGCCCAAGGCAGCGCCGCAGAAGCCCGATGCCAAACGTGCGCCCTTCTTCCTTCCGCAAACCGTGTCGGGCGTCGAGTTCAAGTTCGACCCCACCGCTGCCGTTGCCGATGACGCCGGTGAGGAAACCAAGGCGGACAAGTCCAACATCTTTTCGTCCGCGGGCATCAGCTTCAAGACCGAGTTCCAGGAGCGCCTCGAGGCGGCTGCGGACAAGAACGATGTGGACGGCTTTTTTGTCTATCTCGAGACGCTGTCCACCCCGCAGCTGGATGCGGAGATCCGCTCGCTCACGGCTTCGGACGATCTGGTGGCATTTTTGGGGATGATGCTTGCGCGGCTCGATCAGCACCGCGACTACGAAGCGGTGCAGGCGCTACTGGCCACGCTGCTCAGGGTGCACACCGACCTCATCCTGCAGACGTTCAACCCCGAGATCAGCGAAGACGGCGACGACGACGACCAGATGCAGCTGGGTGCGGACGAGGACGAGGCGGAGCGCCTCAAATCGGTGCTGCGCAGGCTCATCCGTGCACAGGTGGCCGAGGGCCGCAGACTCAACGGCCTGCTCGACCAATGCCTTGGCACCCTTGCCTTCCTGCGTGGCATCCCCATGACCTAAAAGTCACCCTTGAAGCTGGATCCCCGTATGCAATGGCAAACCACTGCCGAACCAAGACTGGAAAATGTGAATGTTGATGTGATCGGAAAACCGAGACGTAAAAGTACATGAGTTGAGAAGACCCGTTCAAGCCGAGGGTTCCGGGGTGGCGGGCTGTTGTTGCGAAAGCGCCTTTGCGAGCGCCGCGCGCTTGGCCAAGTATCCACGGTTCCTAGGCGACGAGTACCACACTATCGAAGCAAAAACAATCCAAAGTCAGCTAATGTTCAAAGAGACAGTGTTAGGAAGGGAAGCAAACGTACCAAGGTCCTTCTTTGCGATGGGGTCGGCGGGGCGTGGGAGAATCTTGCCTGCAAACTTGTGTGGCTTGACGAGCGCACGCAGACTCAAGGGGGTGTAGTACCTGCACTCTACGCTGCCGCCTTTCGCCTCGATGGCAGCAATAGCCGACTGCGAAGCGCGCGAAACGACGAGGTTGAGTGGCGCCTCGAGATGCGTTGCGCCCTCGCCCAGGATCTTGACGCCGTCCTTGAGCGAGTGGATGCAGCGCGTCTCGTACAGCTCCTTGGCAGTGATGGGTCGCGAAGGATCCAACAGACCCCGATCAATCCAGTGCTGGATCTTGTCCAGGTTGACTGGAACGTACGTCTGACCATGACTACCAACATTGAAAATCCCTGTCAGCTTCTGACTAGGCTGTGTAGAGGAGACTGAAGGGGGGGAGGGGGTGGGGGAGGGGGAACTTACACATTGGTAAAGCCGCGCTTGGGATAGAGACGGGTGAGCGGAGTCTGACCGCCCGCAAAGCCGGGGACAGGCTTGCCGTTGCCCGCGCGTGCTTTCTGGCCCTTGTGACCGCGCGTACTCGTGCCACCGCGGCCGGACGAAGGACCACGACCAAGTCGCTTGCGCTGTGCCATCAAAGCCAGAATACCTGTGGGTCAGCCTGGGTCTCGCGAAGAGAGAGCAAGATCATCGGACCGGTACTTACGGTCTTGGTGGGCTGGCCAGGCTGAAGGTTGCCGAGACGAATGTTGCCCGAGGCAGGCACGGCGTATGTGCGGAACGAGGAGGGGGCGTTGTTCTTGGGCAATGCAGTGAGGGCGAGTCGAGGAACAGCGAGGCGGGCTGAAGGCGCGAGAGTGGCGGTGCGCGAGCCCGAGGCGAGTGCGAGTCTCGCGAACGAGCGAGTGAGTGAAGCGGCCGACATTGTGTGTAGACTCGACTGTGAAAAGGTGATGGTGACGATAGGCGAATGCTTGCAAACGACGACGACGACGAGCACAAAGACGGCGGTATGCTGCTGCTGCCTTCAGCCTCGTTCTTCCGACTGCCAACTTTTTCTTCCTTTTCAGTCCCTAATCGGGGCCATCGGCAATCACATGAATCCGATCGAGCCAGATTGGAAATTCGAAAAGAAAAAAAAAGTGCGGGCGAGGGTGCAGGTGCGGGAGAGTGCGGATGTTGGTGCAGGTGCCGATCCTTGAGCTGCAAGGGCTGAGTTAAACGACGGAGCGGCTGTCAAGGGTATATAGGCGGACCCCTTCGCACCGCCGACGTTTGCCTCCACCTCAGAGAAAAGGCTTTTGAAGGTGCAGCCACGCGATGCAGCTCTGCTGATTTTCCAACCTCTCTCCTCTGCACGCACCAACGAGACACCGACGCAACGACGCTTTGTTTGGCTGCAGCAGCTCAAAGACGCGTCCGCTAACTTGGCCCAGCCTCGGCGCTCGCAAGAAGAAGTCCACGCCGCAAATCTATATATTCGCCGCACCCTCCAGCCGCTGCAGCCGACGCCGGAATATCCACCCAAAAAATTCCGCGCCCTCCGCAGCTGCATTCCTCCCTGCGGGTAGCAACGACGCAACGAAGCAGCAGGAGCGCGCGCGCTTGGACCGCCGAAGCAGCTCGTCATCATGGCGGCCACGCGTTTGGACCGACTCGTGTCGCTGCTCGACACCGGCTCCACCCCAGCCATCCGCGCCACTGCCGCCAAGCAGCTCGGACAGATCGCCGCCGTTCGCATCCGTGGCCAGAGCACCACGCAACATCACACTGCTGCCCATCCCAAGCCGCCAAAGACCGAGTCTGCTTCCACGACAAATGGCTTCGCTTCGGGCGTCTCCACACCCACGGTCGATCCGGAAGCCGACGGCCTCGTCAAGACCGAAGACGCGTCTGCAGCGCCGCCCAGCCGCGCCGGCAAGTTCGGCACCACCGAGCAGATCAACAAGCAGCACAGCTTTGCCGGCCCCTCTACCGAAGAACAACTCGGCGTCTATAGAGGCACCGACGGCGACTGGGACGAGATCACCTCCTACCTTGCTCGCGTCGTCCCCTTCCTTCGCTCCAAGAGCTGGGACACGCGTGTTGCTGCTGCCCTCGCCATCGAGAGCATCTGCCATGCAGCCGGCATCTGGGACCCAGACATCGAGCCGTCCAAGCCAGGCGAGAGCTCCAAGTCGGTTCTTGCGGCTGAAGACGACTCCAAGGACGCCAAGCCCGACATCTTGGAACTGCTTGCCACCGAGTCGCTGCTGACCTTTGACGCATTCTCGCTGCCCACCGTCCTGGCTACGGGCACCAAGCTTCTCTCGTCCGCAGGCAAGGAGTTCGAACAGGCCTCGCTCGCCGCTGGCGCTGACCGCCTCGCCCAAGCCAAGAAGGATGTGGTCAGCAAGCTCGGTCTTGGATTCGGCCTCGACGAGATGGACATCGGCATGGACGTCGAGGCAGAACTCAAAGGCGGCGAGACGGCCACGGCAGCCTCCATCCCGCGTTCCTCCCAAGGCAACGTCGATTGGCGCACGGCTGCCGGCGGTACCAAGTCCAAACTCCCACCCCCACGCTTCGGCGCCGCCGGCTCTCCGGGCGGCTCTTCGCTTCCCCCACCGCGATTCGCTGCTCCCTCTTCGCCCTCGCCAGCCACTCCGACATTCGCATCGGCGGCTACGGCTCCATCCCCGTCTCCGGCACCTCCAACGTCCGCCTCCGAGACGCCTGCCGACGAGATCGACATGAGCAAGCTCAGTGCGCGCGAGCGCAACGCACTCAAGCGCAAACGCAAGCTCGAAGGCAAGAATGGCGGCCCCGAGCCAAAGACGCGTGTGCTCGACAGCGCCGATGCTTCCTCTCCTGGCCTCGCCGCCGGCTCCGGTCTTCGTGTCAAGACGCCGTCCGGTCACACTCCCGCCACACCCGTCCAGCCGGATGGCGCAAACGACTACCTCTCAGCAGGACCGCCTCCCGCTCCCAAGCATCCTGCGGGCGGTCCGGGCTCTTTGCCCGCCGTCACCGGCAGCGTCGGCACTCCGACACCCATCGGCGACGCACCTGGCTCGCCCGCCGCTGCTTCCTCCCCCGCTCCCGGCGGTGCAGCGCCCGCCACGTACGCATCGACATCGAATCCGTTTCAGGTACGACCGGGTGAGTGGCCCTTCCGCCTTGTCGTCGACACGCTCAGCGTCGATCTCTTCAGTCCCACGTGGGAGACGCGCCATGGCGCCGCCCTCGGTCTTCGCGAGCTCCTCAAGACACAGGGCTCGGGCGGCGGAAAGGTGCAGCTCGCCTCGCCGGACGACAACGCCAAGATGCACAAGGCGTGGTGCGACGACATCTCCATCAAGCTCCTCTGCGTCTTTGCACTCGACCGTCTCGGCGACTTTGTCTTTGACCAGGTCGTCGCCCCCGTCCGCGAGACGGCGAGCCAGACACTCGCCTGTCTCATGCCACACATGCCCGAGTCGTCCATCGTCTCGGTGCACAATGTGCTGCTCCAGATGATCCGCCAAGACCATGCTGCCGAAGGCGCAGCCACCGACGCCCACACCGGCTTCGCCGCCAAGCGAGGCAAGAAGGGCTACGTCTGGGAGGTTCGCCATGCCGGCCTGCTCGGTCTCAAGTACGAAGTGGTCGTCAAGAAGGAAATGCTCATGAACGCCGCTATCGTCAAGAAGGAAGAGCCAGTGGTCAAGAAGGAAGAATCCGACGCAACAACGGACGGTGCATTGGCTGATCCCAGTAGGATGCTCCAGGACGTGGTAGAAGTGGCCATCCTCGGCCTCAAGGACGAAGACGACGACGTGCGTGCGGTCGCAGCGTCGGCACTGGTGCCCATCGTCGACGTGATCCTCGAGAAGCTTCCACGTGAGGTCGGTCGCCTGCTCGACCAGCTGTGGGACTGCCTCGGCGACCTCAAAGATGACCTCGCCAGCAGCATTGGTGTCGTCATGGACCTGCTTGCCAAGCTGGTCGAGCGCCCTGGCATCGTGGTGCACCTTCGCGCTGAAGCGCAGGAGGAACGTGCCCTCTCGCTTCTCATCCCACGCCTGTTTCCCTTTTTCCGACACACGATCACCAGCGTGCGACTCTCGGTGCTCAATGCGCTGCGTGTCTTTCTCACCGTTTCCTCGCTGCCCAAGGATTGGATCGACGAGCGCGTGCTGCGGCTGCTCTTCCAGAATCTCGTCGTCGAGGAGAAGCTGCCCATCCGCCGCGCAAGTGCCGACGCCTGGAACCATGCGCTCGCCCACGTGGCCGGCGATGCCGATACGGTGCGCAAGCTGCTCGGACCGCACGTCGTCAACTTCTTCCGCATCATCATGACGCCGCTCGGCTCTCCCATCGACTTTTCGCTCTTCTACAGCGCATCCTTCGGCACCAGCAGCCACGCCGATGCCAACCGCCACAACGTCGACAAGGGCATCCTCACGCAGGATCTGTCGCTCGTCGGCGTCGACGCCGTCATCCGTGGCCGTCTCAGTGCGGCGGAAGCCCTCGGTGGCGCCATGGCCCGCTTCCCGCGCCAAGACGATGCATCCGCGTTCGGTGGCGTCCTCGTCGAGTACATCGATTCCACGTCGGCTCTGCAAAAGTGTCTCACCGCCGCCATCGTCCAGGAATGGGCGCAAGCCTCGGCCAATCTCGGCAGCGACTTGAAGGAGACGAGCCCCATTACGCCCGATCTCTCCCGCCGCCTCATCAGCGTGCTTGAGACCCCGGCTCCACCCACGTACGCCGAGATGACCGTGATGCTGCAGCGCCTGCAGGTCGAGTCCCAAGGCTTGTACAACTCGTTCCAGCGCGACGCCAAGGTGCCGAAAGCAAAGATCCCGGCGCTGCCCACCACCGTCGACCCACTCGGCATGATGGTCGACGCCTTCACCATCGACACGGCCAAGCATGTTGCGCAGAACGGCTTCGAGGCGCTCCTCGCCCTGGCGCCGTCCAAGGCCAAAAAGGCGGCGCTACCGCTGCTCGAAGACCGCCAGCGCAAGCTGATTACCGCCATCGGCTTTTACCAGGCGAACAAGGAGAGGCAGGACACGCAGGTGTTTGCCTCGATTGCTGGCGCCGTCATCTCGCTCAAGATGCTGCCTGCCAAGCTCAATCCGGTCATCCGCAGCGTCATGAACAGCGTCAAGTTCGAAGAGAATCTGGACCTGCAGACGCGCTCGGCGCGCTCGGTGGCCAAGCTGATCGAGTTCA